CTCAAGTCCGCATCTTGTACAGCAATTAACCACTAAGAAGAATATATGCAGTGTGTTATTTGTTGAATCTGTACTTCCAATTTGATTTGAAACTGTCTCATTGCTATCTGTTTATCAATAAAATTTTGAAAAAATAAATAAATAAATAAATAAATAAAAGGCTCTATTCAAATTTCTATCTGGCTGGTCTAGTTCCTATGCAGAGTTGACCCATAACGTCTCTGTCTCTGTCTCTGTCTCTGTCTCTGTCTCTGTCTCTCTCTGTCGCTGTGAGTGTGTGTGCGTGTGTCTCTCTGTGTATGTCTCTCTGTCTCTCTGTCTCTTGTCTGTCTGTCTCTCCCTCCCTCTCCCCCTCCCTCCCTCTCCCCCTCCCTCCCTTCTTCCCAGCTACTGACCCAGGGGTTAAGGCTCATGACTCAGCCTGTCCTGCATCAGTTTCCACATCTGCAAGATGGGGCTGCTTGGGAGATCAAAGGGAGAGCAGTTGAGTATTTGGCAAATGAAGCCCTATAAATGCTTGGTGTGATGACCGACTGTGTGGAGAGGACTCTGAGCCAGGGTCCCTGGCTCCACCAAGACTGCAGAGTGACAGCTCCTGAGGTCCCTGGGGTCCCCAGGCCTCTAGTTGCTACTCTGCAAAAACTCCCTGAGCCCCCCTCCAAAAGAAAATTAGGGGCCAGGGAGATAGTTTAATGGAATAAGTGCTTGCCTGGTAAGCACAAGGTCCTGAGTTCAATCCCTGGTACCACAAAAACAAAAACAAAAATCTCCTTGAGGTAGAGGCCTGGCTGAACTCGAAACCAGGAGCTAGGTGTAGGAAATTCACCCTTCTCTGAGCCAGGTCTGTGGCCTCCTTCTGGACCTGAAGTGTGCCCACTCTTCACTGCCTGCTCCCCCACCCCCGTGGATTTGGAGGCTCTGCAGGAGTGGGCCCAGATCACCCCTTTCCCATGGGGTATCTCGGGTGTTTCCCAACTGGCAGTAGCCAATGGACACATGTCCTTCAGTACAACTCAATGGTCCAGAGATGGGGCCTTGCTGCCTGTAGGGACCAAGCCCAGAGCAGCCAGGATGTGCCCAGAGAGAGCACTTTGGGGACACAGACAGTGAGGGGACACACAGGCTTTCAGAAGTGGCCTTGTGCAGGACAGCAACGCAGCACCACACAAAGAACCCTGTCCCCTGAGGTCTGCATAGGCTGGTGGCTTTCCCACTCAGGCCAAGGATGCAGTCCCTTCTTGAGATAAAGGTGACTGGGGCGTGGGGTGGGGCTGCAGGGTCAGAGTGGTGCCCCAGGGCTAGACAGCGCAGGGCATCTCTGGACCCTGTGACTGGTCTTGCACAACCCTAGAGCCCAGGGTCCCTATTAAGTGGGGCAAATAACAGGGCTGCACGATCTGGGGAGAACCAGGGATCAGAGAGGGAAGCCAGAGGGCAAGGAACTGCCCACTGAGGCCCTGCTAATTAGGAAGCTGCCCCAGGCGGGGTGTGGGAAACCCGAGGATGGGAGAAGCCAGGAAGGAAACAAAGCCCAGGATGAGGCGCCTGTTTTTATTTCAAAAGAAATAATTGTGGGCTGTTTAGAAAACATGTTCATTTTCAGGAATGCCTGTCTCTTATGCAATCTTGTATTGTGAAGAGCTTCACACATACAAAAAAAAAATGAGAGTCATATAGTGAGGCCTAAACCTGTTTCCAGTCTGGTAGTACTTGGAATGTGCCTTTCTATCCGTCCATAGTTGATCTTTTTATTTTTTAATTTTTTTTAATTTCATTTATTTATTTATTTTTGTCTTTTCGAGACAGGGTTTCACTGTGCAGTTCAGGCTGGCCTCGAGCTCACTTTGTAGCCAAGGCTGGCCTTGAGCTCACAAGGCTCTTCCTGTCTCAGTCTTCCAAGTGCTGGGATTATAGGCACACGTCACCACACCTGGCAGATCTCTCTTTTTTTTTTTTTTTTTTTTTTTTTTTTTGGTGGAACCAGGGATCGAACTCAGGCCCTTGCACTTGCCAGGGAAGTGCTTATTCCACTGAGCCATCTCTCCCAGCCCCCCAGATCTCTTTTTAAAAAGGAGTTTAAAGGGGCCAAGGAGATGGCTTAGTAGGATAAGCGCTTGACTGGCAAAAGCAAGGATCTGAGTTCAATCCCCATTTCCGGAAAAAAAATTTTAAAAAAAGGAGCTTAAAGCACGTTGACAGGATCATTAAAAAGGCACCGTTTACCCTCCTACATTGTGGGAGGGGTGTGTGTGTTTTGTTTACTTTTTTATTTTTTGAGAAGGGTCTCACTCTGTAGCCCAGGCTTTCCTCAAACTCAAGGCACTTCTCCTGCCTCAGCCTCCCAAGGGCTGGCGTCACAGGCCTGCCTCAGAACCCTCAAAACCTCTGATTC